AAGTAAACATTCTGCAGCTCCATGAATAAATGAAGACAGATCCTCTCATCATTTTAAATCCAGAGGGGATTTCCTCCTGGTAATTTACAACTGCATCAAAGAATTAGTTGTTATTTTAAAAATTACCTTAGGCAGAGAAGCATAATACCTTAAATTAATATCATTAGAATTGCTATAACAATGGAGCATTTTAGAGAAATCTTTATTAATTTATAATAAATAAGACCTTACTTGCTTGTGATCTGCAGAATCAAACATTGATTTCTGATTTAAAAATGTTATTTTGTTGTTTCATTTCAAAACTGCTAAAGAAAGAAAGGAGAACAAAAGTATATTCAGAAGTATATTCTGAATGTTGTATTATTGATTCAGTTCATACATACTCCTGTACCTAACTGGCTTTCATTCTGTTCAATAATCCTGGAGCATCCTGGTCACGTTTTTCAAAACTGTACTGAAGGAATGCTAACCTGTCCATTAAGATAAAAGGCCCCAAATGTCATTCCTAACACAAAAGGATTAGGGTCTTTCTATGTAGCATCACAACTCCTCTCGGCTAAGCAAGGAAGCTGACACTGAAGTGATGGATGACCCCAATGTCTATTATGCATGGCAACACAGTCCATAACCTCTGAGTCACAGCTTGAAATAACTTCTAACTGCATATATGAATTTTCTTAATAAGACTACTTCTCAGGATATCAGTTTAAAAACAAGTTCCCACATTTTAATTTCAGCACTCAGACTCCTATTTATGCATAATATGGCATTTTGATTTTTACCAAAGAGCAAATTCAGATTCAGGAGGTGAGAGAAGGTCAGTCAAAAAATCAGTGTGAAAATAAAAGGCCTACTTGAGAAGTACTTTAATAAATCTGTAGTTTTTTGTTTAACGTCTTCATATTTTAAATAGCTTAATATCTCATTTTAAGTGTTCTTACCACCAAAACACAAAAGAAAATCAAACAAACTGTATTGGTCTGTTTTTACATTGCTATAAAGAGCTACCTGAGACTGGGTTATTTATGAAAAAAAGAGGTTTAATTGACTCACAGTTCTGTATGCTTAACAGGAAGCATGATTGGGAGTCCTCAGGAAACTTACAATCATAGCACAAGGTGAAAGGGAAGTAAGCACTTCTTCACAGGGTGGCAGGAGAGAGAGAATGGCGAAGTTCCACACACTTTAAAAGCACCACATCTCATGAGAACCCACCCACTATCATGAAAACAGCATGGGGGAAATCCACCCCTATGATCCATTCACCTTCCACAGGACCCACGTTCAACACATGAGGATTACAATCCCACATGAGATTTGGGTGGGGACATAGAACCAAACTATATGAAAAACAAAACAAACAAAAACCAAAAGGACACAAAGAAAATTTCAGACGTGTCAGACATGTCTTTTACTTTAATTGTGGTGGTAGTGTTCATGGTGTATGTATATGTAGGTACAAACTCATCAAATTGAATACATTATATATGCAGGTTTGTGTTTATCAATTATACCTCAATAAAGCTGTTAAAAATGTTATCCTTAAAAATTAAAATATTTTAGCCAGATTCGTTTTCAAAAGGCCAATAATTCTGATATGTATCTCTTTTACGTTAACATGGCATGTTGAAACTGGTTTGAAGCTTGTGTTACTAAATTTTGTTCAGTTTTTCATTAAATTACAACAACAACAAAAACTCAAGGAAGGATCATGAACCAGCTTTTCCACAGTTTGGCTAAAAAACCAGCTGATCCTGATAGCTTAAGCCCTAATCAGTGGGTGCTCAATAACCAAGAAAATTAATGAGACTTAAAATCGGAGAAGACTAGTCCAATAATTAAAAAAAAAAAAAACAAAAAACTGACTATTTCTAGAAAATGCCACCACCCTAATGCAATTGGTAGTAGTAGCAATCTGAAAGGTTATTTAGAAAGAAGTGGCATATCTAAATTGATTGACAATATATCACATTGATTTTTGGTTAATTTGTATACCTGGACCTAGAGGACAACAACCAGAAAGATTAAATGCTTCATAAGCTAGAAATAATAAACTAGAAAACTATTTGTAAATAAGAATTACGTCGCTAGTAAAAACCATGTGAATAAAAATACACCCACATGCACTGAAACCATGTATTTAAGATAAAAACAGTATATAAAAAATTTATAATTTATACTTGTCATAATAGCATACACTATTAAAATAAAAAGATAATTTTAATATGTTTCTAATTTGTAGGCTGTATTTCAAGAAATCAAACACTGTTTCACTGCTAAAGACAAGCATTATTTTGCTAATATGGGAAAATCACTAATGTAATTACATTCATGCATCATTATGATCCATAAAAATAATATACTTATATGCTGAGGCAATTAGATCAAACTTCATGAATAAGAAATTTGGTAATGTAATAAATTGATCTTCTGGGAGATGCTGATTTTTCCTTGTATGCTTTATGGCTTTGGTCTGTGTTACAGGAATATTTTCATATTCCTCCTGAGATTGAGTAGAATGACAATGAGTAGAATAAAAAAAGAGAATACAACATTACATTGGCATTCTGTGTTGCATTTGTTAGTTGTCTAATATCGGGACACATACTGTTTTGACTTTTTCTACATTTATATATTTGTTTTATATTGCACAATACATGTTTGGACACCATGCTACACATTCCATTATTTAATATTAAAATGATCCACTCTGACAGTGACCAACAGATACATTCTTTAATCTTTCTCTCACCTTTGTTAATGCATGCAATTATACTAGTCAATATTTTCATGAAATGTGAACAGTACAATTGCAACATCATTCTACAAAGACCTCAGAGAAAAACTACCAAACCCAAGATATCAGTTAAAATTCAAATCTTTTGGTTTCCAACTAAAATTTATAATTTACTTGTGTAAAAAATAAGAATAAAAATTCTCACTACACACAATATGTAAGAATACAAAAGACTTTGATAGTTTGATGCATTACTGCTAGGTTTGGTAGCAGAGTAGACTTGTTATTTTGTGGATGTTTATTCCCAAGTGGGTTGGATGATTGCTTGTAAGTCATTTCATTCCTTGTAAAAGTCCTAGGCTGCTGAGCACCAGGCCTCACCTTCTGTTGGCCTCTTGCTTCTGCATACTTATTGAAAGTAAGTTAGAAATCTTTTCTTTATACCACAAACTATATTAGTGGTATAAATAAAATAGGTTATTTTAAAGAATAACATAGGTTATTTTAAAGAATAAAATTTATAATAGAATTATAAAAATGCACAAAATGTGTTTAATATGTTTACTCCATATACTTGTAACTAAAGATAAAAATGCCACAGAAGATATAAATATGGAATATTACCTAGTTATCTGTAGTTACATTTTAATTCAATTTAAAGAAGAAAGCTTTAGTTTTAGAAACCTGGAAATGAGTTATGAGTTTCAAAATTTAAAATACTTTTATGGCCTTCAAATTCCATTTCCACAGCTCTGACCGCTCCCTTCCTGATTTTATCATTTCAATAATCTTTCACCTGCTCTACCTGCATATAAAATCCTAGCTCTCCATCTTTAGGCTGTTGCTGGAGTTATTTTATTAAAATCCAAATCATGTCTAATTTCTACTCTCTTTAAAAGGTTCGGTGGTTCTCAAATGCTGATATAATGAAAGCCAGATTTCTTAGTTGGCTTCAGAGCCTTAAGGAACTAGTTTCAACCTGCCTATTCACCTGTTGTGACTTTCAATAAAGCACCAACCACATCAGACCCTTTTCCTTCCTTAATAGACCATTATGCTCTTAGTCCTCAATACCCTTATTCAAGCCATTACCTTCATCTGGAATAACCTCACCCAGCTTTTCCCTTCTCTAATTCGCTCATCTTCCTATGCCCGGTTCAAATGTGCCTCCACCCTGATGCCCCCTTCTTCTCTACAAAATGCAACAATAGTTCTTTACATATGGAATGCTAGGAGCATATGCCACATCCTTTAATTGTCACATCTAGTAATTGAGAAAAATAGAGTATTTTCTACTTGCATGAACTCTACAGTCTGGGAGAATTAGGAATAAACTCATGACTGCTCCCAAGAGGGTGACCTTGGGAACTTAATCTCTAATCTTAAATTTTCTTATCAGGAAAACCAAGGATAATATGAGAAACCATTTTATTGGGATTTTCTAAGTATTAAATTAGTTCATGAATGTAAAATATTTTGCATAGTGCCTAGTATAAATATCCATTTTTATTTATTTACAATTATTATCATCCCAGGAATAAAATAAGCCATTGACATGCCTATCTCCTGAATCACACCTGTAAGTATTGTTGACTCAAGGAACATAAATTATTCTGCACACATGATGTGCTCTGTTTTATAAAGTGTGATTCAAGAAATATTTATTGAATGAATCAATTAATCACTGAATGGCTTATAGAAGGCAAAGCATTTCTGATTTTTTCCCAAAAATAATTCAGTGTAATCGTTTTTATATTATATAAATTATTTTATTAAAATAACCAACAATTTATAAAAACCTTGAATAAAATGCTTTTAGTATTTCTTGAATTTCACATAAAATAAAATATGTCATAGCATTTACAGTCTAGTAGGATGCAAATAAAATGCCTGGATTGCATTTGATCCATCAAAATAAAATAAATTCTTGAAATATTGACATCTATTAGATAAGTTCTGAATTTTAATTTTAGGTATCATATAATATGAATAATATATATGATTAATTTCAATACTAATAATGATAAAATTGTCATTTATTAAATACATTTTATTTTGCAAGAACTAACTCAAATAATCTTCATAATATTTGCCCAGGATTGTTATCTTTATGTTAAGGATATAAGTTAATTCAAATCATAAACTTAAAAATAATTAGATTAAAAATATAACAACACTTCTGCTTTTGTCAGTCTGGCAAATGAAAAGTCTCACTATGAAAAAGCTTCTCATGCAAAACAATTAGTTTCTGGATAAAACTTACTTTTAAGACGTTTCTGGGCTGGCAGAAGCATAGAAAACTGCAGAGGCTTCTTCTGTGTAAAAACAGGCAAACAGAGCTGGAGCAAAAAGCCTTTAGTGTTAACGAAATGCTAACAGCCCCACCCAAGAGCAAATGCCAATGCCTGCACTGTATTTTGGATTCCTAGGCTTGGGCCAGGAACAAGTTGTTAGAGCTGAACCTGATACTGCTTTAAATTTGAATCCTGTAAAAGAATTAAGAAATCCAAGGTTGGAAACATCTCCAGGTTTCTGACAAAAGCAATTGCATAGTCATTCTTAAGTAAGGGCCTCAGGATTACCACTGATAAAAACTAATGGCATCTGAGCTTAGAGGCAAAAATCACCAAGCACAGAAGAAAACTTTCATTATGAGTGAAAATCATCAAGAAAAAAAGGAGATTTAAATCTCTCAGAAGACTTCAGGAATTAGAAATACCCAGAGCAGAATAGAATACAACTATGTATAGACTTTTTTAGTTTTCTTTTGACATATATATATATATTTGTCATGTACAGCATGATGTTTTGAAATAAGTATATATTGTGGAATTAATAAATTGGAAAGTTGGGATCACAGAAATGAGCAATAGAGACTATCCAAAATGACTAGGCAAATTTGAAAGAGAATGAAATGAAATCTTAAGAAATAAGAAATAAGGCATTTGAAATTAAGAACAAAACAAAACAAGATAGGGTGCTTAGCTATCAGCTAAGACACAACTTAAAGGAAACTGATGAATGGAATATCGGGAAAAAAAATCTATAGTGTAACATTTAGATAAAGGAGGTTGAAAGTATTTTTTTTAAAGGTTCAAAGATAAGAAGGAAAATTATGAATGCCTAGCATTTGTCTAATGAGTGTCTTCAGAAAGTAAGATAGAATAAAGGCAAAGTTACATTTATAATTATAATGTTAAGAATTTTCTAGAACTGAAGGAAGATAAAAGTCTATAAATACTGAATGACAATGTATAACAAACAGGATTAACTAAAGCAAAAAGAAATGGAAACTCCGCAAAACTATAAGAAAAAAGTGGTTTGAAATTAAAAAAGAGAAAAAAGTTCATGTATAAAAGAATGAGTATTAAACTGACAGATTTCTCAACAAAATCAAAGGATATTCAAAGAGTGAAATAATAAACTCATGAGAGAAAATAAATGCCAACCTAGAATTCTGTACTTAGCACATTTGTTTTCTCAACCTTCAACCTATGCCAGAAGTATTGTCATCTTAACAGTAAGTCATTCTGATCCACCAGTATAAAATCTTTTTTATTTAAGTCTCATTTAATTTTTAAACAATTTTAAAGTTTATTCCTGAGTATTTTAATCTTTTTGACACAATTGTATGTGGAATTATTTTCTTAATTTTATTTTGTTTGTTCATGGCTAGTACACAGAAACACAATTCTTTCACACAACTGATCTGCAGATTTAAGTCAATCCCTCTCAACATCCCAGAAGACATTTTTTTGGGCAGCGATTGACAGGTTGATCCTAAAATTCATTTGGAAATATAAAAGAACCATAATAACAAAAACAATCTTTAAAAAAATCAAAGTTGAAAGATTAATACTTTTCAGTTTAGGAACTTACTACAATGTTCAGTAATCAAAACAGAACAGTATTGGCATAAGAGTAGACATCGAGAATTATGAAATAGAATTGAGAGTCCAGAAATAAACCTTCACATTTATGGTCAACTGAATTTTGAATTTTGACAAGAGTACCAAGAAAATGAAGAAATAATAGTTTTTTCAACAAATTGTATTGAAACACCCGGGTATCTGCATGCAAAAAAATGAGGCTGGATTAATACCTCACACCATACAAAAAATATTAGGTGAGAATGCACCATATTCCTAAAAGTAAGGACTAATTCAATAAAATAAAACATACAGAAGAAAATCTAGGAGTAAAATGTCATAACCTTGAATTATTATGGTTTCCTAGTTATGACATCAAAAGCACCAGCAACAAAAGAAAATAGAAGATAAATTTGATGCTATCAAAAATATTACACTTCAAAGAACACTATCAAGAAAGTGAAAAGTAACCCAGAAAGACAATATTTTAAAATTATATGTCTGACATGATACTTAGATTTAGAATATATAAAGAATTCCTACAACTCAACAATAAAAAGACAAATAACTGAATTTTAAAATTAAGAAAGGTTTTGAATAGACATTCCTCAAATGAAGATATACAAATGGTCAATAAGCACATGAAGAACTGCTCAACACCACTAGTCTTTAGGAAAATACAAATCGAAACCATGAGATATCAATCACACCTACTAGTTTAGCTAGAATAAAAAAGATAGACAATAACATGTTAATGAGGATGTAAAGAAATAGGAATGCTTATACGTTGCCAGTGGCATTGTAAAATGGTATAGAGACTTGGGAAAACAGCCTGGAAGTTACTCAAAATGTTCAACACTGTAATATGACCTGCAAGTCCACTCTTTTTTCTTTTTTTGAGACGGAGTCTCGCTCTGTCACCCAGGCTGTAGTGCAGTGGCGCCATCTGGGCTCACTGCAAGCTCCGCCTCCCGGGTTCACGCCATTCTCCTGCCTCAGCCTCCGGAGTAAGCTGGGACTACAGGCGCCTGCCACAAATCCACTCAAAATATATGCCCAAGTGAGTTGAAACATGTCCACACAAAAACTTGCACATGAATCTTCATAGCAGCATTATTTATAACAGCCATAAAGTGGAACTAACCCAAATGGCCACCAACAGATGACTGAATATAGAAATGTGATATAGCCACAAAATTGATTTTTTTTTTTTTTTTCTTTTTGAGACGGAGTCTCGCTCTGTCGCCCAGGGTGGAGCGCAGTGGCACAATCTCGGCTTACTGCTACCTCCGTCTCCTGAGTTCAAGCAACTCTCCTACCTCAGCCTCCCAAGTAGCTGGGATTACAGGCGCCTGCCACACACTGCCACCACATCCAGCTAAGTTTTGCATTTTTAGTAGAGATGGGGTGTCATCACTTTGGCCAGGCTGGTCTCAAACTCCTGACCACAGGCGATCCACCCACCTTGGCCTCCCAAAGTGCTGGCATTACAGGCATGACCCACCGAGCCCAACCAATGGAATATTATTTAACCATACAAAGGGGTGAAGCACTGATAGCAATACAGTGTGGATGCACCTTAAATACATATGTTAAGTCGAATATATAGAACATTACTTTGTAATACAGAGGCTAAAATATAGTGTGAAACTTAGAGTAATAATTTAGGTGTAATACTTTGGCCAAAACAGATTTTAAAAGGACCGATAGCTTCTTGATTGGGTCACAAAGCTGCCTTAGGTTTTTAATGTACAGAATTGACCACTAAGTAATGAAATTACTTCATTGTGATACAAAATTCACGATAGAAAGTGAAAAGTTGTCCCCTTTGTGGGAAAGTTAGCATGAATGCCAAATAATGTACAAGAAGATCTATATTCAATATTCAAACACTTATCCTTCTGAGCCAAGAAACTCAAACAAAAAGATATACTCAGATGTGAGTATTTATAATCTAATTATCACTTTATCTCTTTTATGATTTAGTAGTTCTGGTTAAAAAATGTTTTCTGTTAAACGACTCTGCATTATAACATTACATTTTCAGTCTGACTTAGGGATGGGGTATTTATTATATTTAAGAGATATAAGCCAGATTTGTTTAAAAAAAAAAAAAAACAGGAAAACATCTCAAGTCATATTGACTGAAACCAAAAATTTTTTAAATTTCCACATATGAATTTATACCTTAATTTTATAAAAATTGTTGTGTGTTAGCCATTCAGAAAAATGTACCAGCGCACAGTCAGTAATATAATCTCTGCCACCATAACCTAGAGAACACATACCAGTCAAACAAGGCATAATATCTAACTGAAAATAGCAACTCGATGCTGGCATTTTGCAATTCCGGATGGTGTCTGCGGATCCCGATTTTAGTGGAGAATTGTCAGTTTTCATGTGAGAGGCTCTTGAATGATTGCATCAATATTTCATTTCTAACTATTCACCATATAACCTTTGAAAAAAAGTAGTTATATATTCTGCAATGAAAAATGAATGGTTAACAGGATTCATTTAGTTCTTTGAGTGACTCTATGCAATATTTCTTTTGAGAAAATTAAATAATATATTTATTTTCTATAAAAACCTATTAATTAGTAGAGAAGTTTTCTTTCTCAGAGCTAAAATATCAAAGGCAGTATAAGATTATGTAATTCATAAATACAAAAATATCAATAAAATTTATAGAAAATCTTAAGTAATTATTACATAATCTTAAGTATTATTACATAAGCTATGGTGAATCTGATGATGGAGACAGGAAACTTGAGAAATATTCAAAGTCATGGAAATCTTCAATTCAGTGGTTAAATTTATAATGCATTCTGCCTACACTATGTAACATTAATAAATCTATTATTAAAATGTTAAGCCAAATTTGCAGTGTTTGTTGAGACAAGAATAGAAAAAGCAGGATAGAATGTCATTTAACATGCACTGTTTTGTAAAGATCAGTACAGGCCCCTTACATTGGAATGGGTGCTTTGGTTCCACACTAGACTTTCTGACTCCAAATATTTGGGCATAGTAACCAAAGAAAACTTCAACAAACTTCCCTGGTGATTATTTTGAACCCTTATATTTGAGAGTAATGGGTATAGGGAGATATTCCTTCATTGCTTTAAGGAATTAAAGCAATATTCTTTCATAGTTGGTATTCCTTCATAGTTGATATTCCTTCATTGTTTTAAGGAATCTTTATGCACAGTTAGCTATCAAACCATGAAAGTCAGTACCTTATAATGCAAAAGAATAAAATGAAAGATTTTATTGACCTTGGACAAATCACTTTCCTTCTTTAGGCTTTAGTTCCCTCAACTATTGAATGAGGCATTAAGCTAGGTGACTTCTGGTGAGCCTTTCCATTTTATCATTCTACTGAAATCTGGTGCTAAAAGGTATGTAAGCTTGTCATATGTTATGTTCAAGGGATACAAAGCTT